CTGTGAAAGTTTATATCTTGGTGAAGTCCAATTACATCATATTTTGTATCCTGCTCTTTTAATATCATAGCCTATGCCTGATCTCAAATGAAAAACCCCCTTGGAAAAATAATTCCTAACGGGTATATGCTATTGATTGCTTAATCATCCTCTACTGGACATCTACATTCTTTCTTTTTTGCCATTTTCACTAGGTGTTAGAGAGATTTGTGCATACACTGTGTTTTTTATAATGTCCATGGGGTGGTAACAGATGTTATGGAGAAAACCAAACAGTTATACAGTCAAAAATGTTGGTTTAAAAATGAACTTGAGGTTATTTCTTATAACTTTTACCAATGCATATTGTGACTCTCCAAGTTAAGGGATAGTGTTCAGCTACTCCCAAATTTGTCTGCTTTTAGGATTCTGCTCTGCAGGCTGGTTCAATTCCAGTCCATGTTACTATTTTTGTAAGACAGACTCCCTGACATAGAATTACCAGGTCAAATAGTATTAAATATTTGGCAAGCTATTACTGTGTAGTTCCAAACTGCCCTCCAGAACGGTTGCACTAAGTTACACACTCTTCAGCAGCATATGGACACATTGCCCAATAGTCGGCCAAGGCTGTGAATTTTTTTAATTTTTGCTGGCATGCCAAAAAAAAAAGGCACTATTATTTTCTTTATATCTCTCTGATGATGGTAAAGTTGAACATTTGATTGTCAGCAATTTGTATCACTTTTGTGAATTACCTTATTTCCTAGGCTAAGGTACTTTTTTATATATTAATTTTTTTTAAATCAGAGAGGACTTCTTTTCTTATAATCAAAATATTTATGTGGCAGTGGCTTTTTTTTCCCTTTCTTTTTTTTTGGTCTGGGGCTGGGTTTGAACCCGCCACCTCCAGCATATGGGGCCGGCACCCTACCCTTCTGAGCCACAGGCGCCACCCTTTTTTCCCTTTCTTAAAAAGTTTATTAAACTGACAAATTTTTTAATAAATGGTTCCAGCTTTGATTTTAAAAAAATAGCTACTTGTATCTATTGGGCTTTTAGTGTCTTTTTCATAATATCTATATAATCATTTGCCATAATAAGGCCATTAGATCCCCCTTAAATTCTCCACTAGTTACCTTTCAGGAGGTGCAATAGTGTTAAGGACAAATACTGTTGAGGCGGGTGCTCCTTCTGATCCCTGGTGTACTGTGTAGTGAACTCTTCCAGCCACTTGATGAAAGCAGGGCAGGCAGACAAGCCTTGAAGCAGAGAGTTCATGAAGCAGGTGTTCCCTAAATTGACAAGGCCAGGCACAAGCCCTGAAAAGGGGGGGGGGAGAAAAGAACAGCACCTCACATCTGACCAATTCTCTTTTCTCTCCCATTTGAGACCCAGAGAGTTTCTGTGCTGTGGCCTTAAATTTGGAATCCTAATCTGAGCTGGTCCTTATCCACAGAGATCCAGAAGCCAGGCCTTCTGTCCATCCCAGTACTGCAGACTCAAGCAAGAGAAGGACAGGTTCCTGTCACATGTTACTTCTGAAACGCATCATGGTATCTGGCACAGCTTGGGTCACACTCAATGTATAAAAAGACATGGTAACCTCCCCTTCACTTTTTCCTCTCTCTCATTCTCTCATGTGCTCTCTTTAATAAGAAGCAACATTTCTCTGAACAGAAGAAAACAATTGTTCTATTGTTGCTTCACCCAGAACAATGATTTTATTCTCAACAATCACTGGGAAAGACATCACTATACCAATTCTAATCAGTCTCTCTGAAAATCTTATATACTTTCCTCCTCTGCTCAAAATCTTTAAAAAAAAACTTTTTTAAAAAAGTTCCCAAGCAGGGAACATTTCTCTCCCAAAAGGAGAGAAAATGTACATAATGAACACCAATCATAACCATCCTTAGAATTAACAATGATCAAATTTTGCTGCATCCTTTTCTTCTTTTTCTCTATGCCAAATTTAATCAGTATTAAGTAGTGCAACATTTTACAAAAGGGGTATTAAAAAATTAGGAAATAGATTTTTTATTAATGAAAAAACTACCTTGAAATTTTTACCAATTACTGGCAATCTAGTTTGAGAGATCACAAATGAATAACATAATTAGTCAGTTGAACTACTCAAAAACACAATTGCCACATTAATAAGCCACTTGAAATTTTTCATTACGAAGCATTCCTTAAGCTCAAATCTAGAGAGGTGCTGAAATAGAAGTCTTTTTACTCCAGGGTATACAATACTGAGTCAATGTAAAAGTACTGTTTCAGAAACTGAAATCCTCATTTTAAAGATGTAAGAGGGGGGAAAAAGGACACTCCTCTAACTTTTTGTTCCTTTTTTAGATAACGGGGTTTTAAGTTATACCCACCACCATGATACAGTGGCCACATTCTTACCTTTTCTGCGCTTCTTTCTTTCTGTAATGGGACCCCAAATAACATATATTCCTGCTGCAAGAGCAGCGGCAATTCCACCTAGAACTCCCCAGTTCTTCATGACTTTATATCTAAAAAAGAAAATAACTTTTACTGTCTTCCTTCTTCATGAACACAATATATAAACACACGGATAAGTAGATGAACATTTTGTCAAAGTAGCCCACCAAGTACCTAAATTTCAAGTTAAAGTAATATACAGTAATAGGATTAGGTCTTGAAAATTAGAATGTTTAGACATTAATTTTTTTTCATGCAACATTGTTTTGTAGACTTTTCTGAGTTTTTTTTCCCATAGACATTAGGATTTAAAATCTAAGTCAGAGCACAACCTTCTAAAAACTGCATCTCACTCAGAGGAAAAGCTGGAGTTTTCCTCCTGCTCTGCCTGTTATTCACTCCACCACCACACTGACTATTACCAGCCAAAGCTCAGACCCCAGGGCCTTTGCACTGCTGCTCCTTCTGCCCAGAATGCTCTCCCCACCAGATCAGTACTTGGCTCACCCCCTCACCTCCTTCATCTCCCTTCACTTCTCAAGAGGCCTACCCTGAACACACAACTGGAACCTGGACTCCTGGTCTCCTATTACCCATTCTTTTTCTTTTTACCATAACACCACCTTAAAATAGTGAACATAATACTCACTATTCACAATGTTTGTTGTCTGTCTCCCTCAACTTGAATGTAAAGTCCTTAAGGGTAGGGATCTTTGACATATCCCAAGTATCTAGATCATGCCTGGCACACAATAGGTTCTCAATAATACCTACTAGGTGAGTGAATCCTTAAGAAAATATACACAGATTTTTCTTTAAGAATATTAAGCAGTGAAGGAATACACAATGTTATAAAAGATGTGAATATTTATAGAATTAAAGATTTTTTAATTTCCAGCTTGATTTGAACACTGAAGTCATTCTTTAGCTACAAAGAAATATCACCAACAATTTAATACATTGTTTTATACAAAGTTATATATTTCCACCAAGTAAGGCAAACTATATGTGTGTATATCTATGTGTGATATATATCTATATATATGTTACAAATGTGGAATATATTCTTTTTTTTTTTTTTTTGGAGACAGAGCCTCAAGCTATCCCCCTGGGTAGAGTGCCATGGCATTTCAGCTCACAGCAACCTCCAACTCCTGGGCTCAAGCGAGTCTTCTGCCTCAGCCTCCCAAGTAGCTGGGACCACAGGCGCCCGCCAGAACGCCCGGCTATTTTTTGGTTGCAGCCGTCATTGTTGTTTGGCGGGCCCGGGCTGGATTTGAACCCGCCACCTTGGGTGTACGTGGCTGGCACCTTAGCCACTTGAGCCACAGGCGCTGAGTGATCAACATTTAGATCATGTGAATATTGTTTTGATGTCAGCTCAGTTAACTTAGTGAAAAGTCACTGGTGGTAATAATGACTCTGTCTTACAGTAGTTAACATTTTTCTGGTGTCATAGCTAACAGCTGGATTTCAAATAAATCTTTGTTCTTCTAAGACATAGTCAATAGAATATGCACACAACTTGGTTAAGAAAGTAAGATTTCCAATTTACAATCGCCAAGATGTGAAAACAACCTAAATGCCCATCAACCCAAGAGTTAACAAACTGTAGTATATTTAGACCATGGAATATTATTCAGCCATTAAAAAAGATGGAGACTTTGCATCTTTTATATTAACCTGGATGGAGTTAAAACACATTCGTCTTGGCTCAGCGTCTAGGGCACCAGACGTATATACCGGAGCTGGCAAGCAAACCCAGCTCAGGCCTGCCAAACAACAATGACAACTGCAACAACAAAAAGAAAAAATAGCCAGGTGCTGTAGGGGGCACCTGTAGTCCCAGCTACTTGGGAGGCTGAGGCAAGAGAATCGCTTAAGCCCAAGAGTTTGAGGTTGCTGTGAGCTATGATGCCACTGGCACTCTATAGAAGCCGACATAGTGAGACTCTGTCTCAAAAAGAAAGAAAGAAAGAAACACATTCTTCTTAGTAAAGTATCACAAGAATGGAAAAGCAAGTATCCAATGTACTCAATACTAACATGAAGCCAGCAGGTGATTCAATACCCACCCACATAAAAGGAAAACTCAATTCAAGTGAGGGAAGGGGGAAGGAGAGGGGAGAAGGAAGGAGGATTGGTGTGCTCCCACTTAATGGGCACAATGTAAGGGTATATGGCACATCTCTTGGGTGTGGGACACCACTACAAGAGGGACTCTACCTAACAAATGCAAACATTATAACGTGGTTGTTTGTACCCTCAAATTAATCCGAAATTTTCAAAAGTGAGATCTCATTAATCTGGTTCAATTCTGGCTTTGCTATTTCACTAGGACATCATTTCACCTTCTAAGCCTCAGCTTCCACATCTGTATAAAGCAATCATGAGATCCCAACTCACAAGGGGTTTTGTGTCTATTAAATAAGTGCTAATACATAATAGGGTACACAGTAAAAACTTAATAAATGTTAGCTGCTGCAATTATTGAGTGTTACAATCTGAGGTTCATTAATGAAAGTTATTCTCGAGGTCTCTTGGTGTATCATTGTGCTGACTTTGATAAAATACATACCTGTATGTGCACCAAAGTGCCTAGACAGGACCATTACTGAAGTGCTAAAGCACTGTACAAGTGCTTTAAAATTCCCTAGTGAAATACTAATATTTAAGGGTGCATACTCTAAGCCTGGCACTGTGATAGTCTTATCTGATTTTCAAAACAACTCCACAGAAGTAGGTTCTACTTATCACCCCCCATTTTCATATATGAGGAAACTTAAGAGGCCAACTTGGTCATGGTGAGGGAGGGGACATGGCTCTGAATCTATGCCTGCCTACCTCCCAAGTCTATGCTTAAAAACCACAAAGTTTTGAGGGAAATTGAACAAAAGAGTGTTGAAGGGATGGGAAAGAAGACTTACCCAGGTTCTTAGCACAGCATGTACAAAAACTCAAGGGACAAGCGGCAACTTTGGAAACCCCAGTCCTCTGCAAAATGACATCATGAGGAGAGTGGTAGGGCCTGGGAATGGAATAGATCTGGCTTCTCCTCTCTAATTCTGCTACTATCAGGCAGCTGCTGGGCCACAGGCAAAGCTGTCCCAAGACCCATTTCTTGTCTACAGAAATGGAGGCAATGGCTCAGTGCCTGTGGCTCAAGTGGCTAAGGCGCCAGCCACATACACCTAAGGTGGCGGGTTTGAATCCAGCCCAGGCCCACCAAACAACAATGACGGCTGCAACCAAAAAA